TTATCATCATGTATTTCAGCCCATCCTCGAAAATGTCCAGGTTTTTCAGTCGCTACATCACGTGACTTAAACAAGCGAGTGCAGGCGCACTATGCATTCGACCACAACAAAACACGCCCGGTTGCTCAGTCACCAATGATACGCAGCCTCCGCCGGCCTCAGGAGGGCGCCGCCCACGCGCCGTCAGCGAACCGAAGTGGGTCACCCATCTCGGAATGTTCATCCCATCGGTTTGTGGTAGCCCGGCTGTGGGCCATGGTCATGGTCAGCTGTCTTGGCTGTGGATCATGGTCGACTGGCTCCCCCATGGGGCGGGGAGACAGACCTGAGTCCTGCCGGGTTGGAGAGACTTTGATAAAACTCACTGCACCATTGCCTCCGTTATTTATAAATCGCTATCTCTCTCGCAGGCTCCTCTGCGGCAGCTCGGAAAACGGTCTGTACGCATTGAGGCCGCTTACATTATATATATATATATATATATAATATATATATATATATATATATATATATATATCAGATAAGCAACAGGAGTTGTCTTCTCCAATATGCATTTATATTCACAAATGCCGAGATATCCATCGTGTCTCCCAGCCCCCGTCATAATGTGATACTCTGCAATCGCGAAATCGAACAAAGCTTTACGTGGTGTAATACGCTGGCGACAACTACCACGGGCCGTCAAACACGGCCAGCTGAGCGAGCCACTACCCGTGGCTGCCTGCCGCTCAGCAAAACCCGACAGCCTTGACCGAACGACAGAATAAAAACGGACGTCAGGGACAGACACACTGGGACGGACGAGCGATACCGGAACCCGCCTGGAGACCATCCGGACCTCATAACCATGGCGAGGCGTAGCACTGGACACTGGGTCATTCATTAGTCCACCGGCCTCATGTGCATTTTTTCTGTGTCGTGGCTAAAGTTGTAAAGCCGTCAGAGCAGTTGAACACTGCTAAGGTATGGCAGATACGTCATGAGGAAAGTACATCAAGTGCCGGCCGGATTTGTATGCGGGTCCTCGGCGGCTCTGATCGCGAGGTCAAATGTTTGTATGCGTAGATGCATCGATCACCAAACATTTCATGCAGAAGAAACTTTTTAGATCGGTTCCCCACAAGATAACGGTCACGCAGGAGTAAAGGCATATGTGGGTCAGGCGCAACAACATGCAACATTTTTAGCTTTCATCCCATGTCAGTGCGAAAATACAGACATGAACACCACCAGGGAATGGCTCTTCCTCTCACACGGCAGTGGTCGTGCGAAAGGGCTCTACGAAGCCGAACCGAGCGGAAGTAGGGTGATGTCCATCATCGAGGCATTCCAATCTCTCACAGCTCTGTACCCAAGGCATGGACGTTCTCTGGTACTTCACTTTGTACCGAAGGACCTGCAACGCCACTCCGACAGGTCATCTAGATTCGACGGGCAGACGGATTGCCGTCCGGATTTCTTTGATGGCGTTGTCCTTGCGTTGGTGACATGCGCTGGTGCGCTAGACGGTGCACAGCTTACTTATGAAGCTGAAAAACGCTTGGAAGGTTGCAGTTGCGAATGCTAGCGAGAGAGAAAAGAGAGAGAGAGAGAGAGAGGGGAGGAGGCTTGGGTGCATATTTGAACGATTTTTGCCCAAGTTTTTACGCATTCAGATCTCTACAACATGTTGCCGCATTGAGTATGCAATACCAGACGTCTTGACTGGGAGTGGATTCAAGGCATCGCGAGCCATTTGATTTCTCTAGAAGTTTTGAGTTTCCAGCTTCATAGTTCAAGCTCGCTCGGATCCGATGCACCCATCCGTGGTGAGGTGGGTTCGGCCTTCGGTTTCGAGGTGGGGCTCAGGCGGCTACTAGTTGCCCTTAGCAGCGGTCGCCTGCGGTCGGTTGCCTGCGGTCGGCGACGACCGCGCTAAAGGTCGTAGGACGTCAGACGGCAGAAAGGACCATGCGGTGCGGCACACAAACTTTCGCCGCAAAAATATGTCGCTGACTTGGAATTGCGCTATTGCATGATAGAGGTTAGGGCTCACACAACATGCACTGCTTAGCGTGAGCCCCGATACCAAAATTCATCCATTCAAAAGGTGCAGGCTAAGTCTTAAAATAAGTATTACAGTACAATCTTGTAAAAATTGTGCTGTTTCCAGGGGCGAGGGAGCTATGTTCAAGCTGCGGGGCAGGCAATCCTAAAGCGTCAAAATATGCCCCCGAGATAAGATAGTTGGCCCTCTACAAGCCAGCGCGGGCCCTATACATCCCAGAATGAGCACTTCACGTGTGAGAATTCGACCTCTACAGGCCAGAATGAGCCCTCCATAGTTGATAATGAATCCTCTGAAGGTCAGAATGGACCCTCTACTGGCGGGAATGGACCATCAAAGTCCAAAAAAATTGACGCTACAATTCACAATGTAATTAAGCAACACTTTCGTCTCGCTTCGGTCTCGTCATGCCGAATGGGGCCCTCCACAAGCAATAATGGGTCTTCCATAGATCAGAATGGGCCTCCTTAAGACTCAGAATTTTCCTCTTTTGGTCAGAATGAACCAAAATAGGCCAGAATGAGTCCTCTGCAGGTCAAAATGCACTTTTACAGGCTTACATAATCCGTTAAGAGTCCGATGTGGCCCTTAACGTGCCAGAATGGACCCTCCACAGACTTTCCCAGCTGGGGAGGGAGGGGGACGCCGACCCGCAGCTTTCAAGGAGGAGGTAGGGGCACCGCCCCGCAGCTTTCAACTGGAGTGGGCACGGGCTGCCCTCACTGCCCCCCCCCCCCTTCCCAGTTCCCGCTCTTTAAACTGCACAACAGTGGAATCAGTGGCAGTAAAGAAATGCATGATCTACCAACAATGTGGCTGAACGACCATGAACAGGCCGTGATATTAAGGTAAATTTAATCACAATGTTTGATATAGTAATCAGGTAGAAACACACAATGTCAAGATCTAACAGCCATTTGCAGAGTATTGTTGTGTCTGATAAACTATTTATTATTTTCTGAGCTTATCTTAAAAGTTGAATTAAACCATCACCTAAAAACAGCAGCTGGCACTTACTGATTCCGCCGACATTGCCTATGTTCGTCTGGAAATACTCAGGGGTAAAGCCGAGGTTCCAACGCGTGCTGCACCAGGGCAATATTACGACCTACTTTTCAGAGCCATTGTACACGTCTCTGCCTTTTAGCACCACCACTGCCGTTTCGACAACGCAATGGCGGTGTGCATGGTGAAAGATCCACGTGTCTCTCGCGGGGTTAAAACACACCATCATATCACAAACGAAATAAGCATTTGAACTATCGTGCTCATCTGGTTTCGAAATGTCGTCTGCACACAATATTTCGCGCAGATAACTCTCCAGTCGTCGTCGGATGTTAATGAGTCGTGGACAGACTCAACCAGGACTTCATAATACCTTTTCAAGGACAATTCAGGACTCAATAATATCTGACGATGGCCGGGGAGTCAAATAATCGAAACGTTGTGTGCATGCAAACACACCACAACAGGATGATAACCGGAACAATTAATACATCCGTGATGTTAAAATCTCGCTTTAATCATCCTGCAACACTATATACATTCTTATCTCTGTGTATATATGTCCAGCAGGCGATGCATTAAATCCAGTCAGGTAACTGGCGCGATTATCGAAAAGAACGAGCGGATCATTTCTATTGTTTTCCACTCGGAGGTTTTCAAGGGTTTCGATGATGTGTTAAGTTTATATTATGCCATATATTTCTACCTTTCCAGATATAAAAAACCAAGACGTATGAAAATATATACAAACCTTCAATATCTAAGAGACTCTTGAGAATCTCCAAGAAAAGAGCCAGAACTGTACCTGAGCAACCGAACGGCCCAGTCCGTCGCGAATGGCTCAGTTGGTTAGAGCGCCTGCCCACAGGGTCATCATCCGTGGCGAGGTGGATTCGAGTTGGTTCGGCGCTCGACTGGTATGGCCTGCGGCCGGTGACAGCGGCCGCGCACAAGTTCAGGTGACGTCAGAGGGAAGGACAAACCGCGCCGAACACTGCAGGACGTTACGCTTTCGCCACCAAATTCTGTCATAAACCTGTCATTGCACGATCAGATGATAGAGGTCAGGGCTCACACAACAAGCACTGCCTAGCATGATCTCTGATCCCAGAAATCCAACCATTCAAAAGGTTCAGATAATTTTAAAAAGAGAAACAAAAATTAAGAAGAAAAATGCAGAAAGGAAAAATACTTCCGTGGTGTAGCTATACGGATCTCAGTCTGACAGTCTTTCTTCAAACCATAAGCATCTTGCCACTGACCATCGAAAGCAAACTGTCCGGCGCACACCAACCATCTTTTCTGGTTGGCGCATTGTAGGAAGCAGATACAAATTGCCACGAAAAAAACCCACATGTTTCCTTCGGAGTTTTCCTAAAGCCCTATGTCTTGCCATGGCCGATAATTTTCGACCTAATCTGGCTGTGGTCCAGGGCCAGCCGGTTCCTTGCTCGTCCGACTGACGACGTCGAGTCGAGGTCGCAGTCAGATGCCGGTAAATGGGTCCTTGTCGGACTGGTGTCCAAGGGGGTGGGAATTGCTCCGCTTTTTCCCACGCCAGCTTACGACAGGTCCATGATGTTACCGATATGGGCCACAACTGCTTGTTGTCTTGAGCGAATGTGTCAGTGTGCGAAAATTCAGGTCTAGAAGTCTTGGATGCGCACTTGTTCGAAATGGAAAAGGACAGTGGGCCATTCTCCCTGGCTGACATCGAATGTCGGCGGAAAGCGACTATCCCCACTTCGTCCCCGCTACACGCCGTGCTGTTTGTACTTTCGCTTCCAGAGCCTATCAATGTTTACCCGTATTACGATGGCGACACGACCTGTGCAGCACCACACTGAAACCGTCCCCGTCTCCACTGCCGCAGGTGCTCCTGCTTCATCGGTCCATTCAGCCTGGAGGCAGGCAGACATGACGCTCGGAAAAGACGCCCAGTTCCAGAATGCCGCTTACGAGCCGGACCAGGTCGGCCAGCCTGACCTTGCAACCGGGTCACGGCGACCGACCTGACCCGGCGTCGGGTCACGGAGGCAAACTTGACTTCGATGGAGCTAAGCCTGCGGGTACAACGGAGGCCAAACTGCGCGACGCGGAGGGTGCCGACAGCCTCATCGTCACTTCATTCGGGAAGTTCGAACGGCGGGAGCGCTGGACCATCCTGAAGAACGTCCTGGCCATCTCGTTCGCATTCAGCTGTCTCTTCACTGCCTTCACCGGCATGGGCAACCTCCAGAGCTCTATCAATTCAGAAGGAGGTGAGTAGGCATAGGCGAGGACGTCTAGGGCACAGACAGGGGGCATTCAGGGAAGTTCAAGGTCATTGGTGGCCTTTGGGAGGCCAGAAAATGCTGAAGAAGGCGGAAGAGCGGTGAAGGTCAGAGAAACTCGAGGAGATCGGTGGCGGATTGTAAGGGAGTTTGGAAGGCCCGGGGATACTGAGACAGGCAGTGTCAGCGACACCATGAGGGACGTAGGGGACTTTCCCCTCAAACAGATCCGGAACTCCAGATCGTATGTAGACGCGTTCTAGTTAAGCGAGTGAAAGGACCTAAGCTCACAGATTACATTAAACGCATATAACACGAGCCTCACGACGCCGTAAAAGTAGCTAACCAAACACAGACTGTGCGAGTCCTCTCAATAGGTATCTCCTCACAATGCAAAGGGCATAACGCGCATTTTCCATTTGGGCTGTTCAGCGTCTTTGCCACACATTCGGCAGTTGTTTCGCCGGTGGACCTTTGGACTTGTTGTCGAGGGCCATGGATCCCAATGTTGAGCCACCACTGTCCCTCCCCCATATAAGGCTAGCCTCCGCAATGTAGAACTTAGTTCCCAATACTCTTTCAGTTCTTTGGAACAGCGAGATGTCAAAATTCGGCAAACTGAAATAAATTAACAGCCTGATATTTTGATGTGTCTCTGAGAGATGAAATATGATTTTGTTTCAAAATTATAAAAGGTCTTCGTAATTTACAACTTGCACTATTGCTGTTCAATCGGCTGCCAGGAAATATCTGCTAGATCAATCATGCACATGGGACCTTATTTTAACAAAAGTCACGTACTGCCTGATGTTGCATGGGTCACTGGCTATAAGCAGATAGGCTTGTTGCAGGCTTGCATCGTTTCGAGTCAGTACATGCACCAAACATCGCAAATAAATCGTCAGATAGTTAAAGGTCAATGTACGTGCTTATGTCATTTTTCCTTGATAAAGAACAGGACATGGCTGCACGATCTGCGTCCTGTAACCAGATCGACACACCTGCTCGAAAGGCCTCGCCAGAAGAAAATAATTGTTGAGCAGTTCATACCTGACTTCGTGAGGGTGATGTTCAGTTGTAACGGCCACCAGTTGACTCTCAATCAACACTGTGCAAGGAACGATGACGTAATAAGGAACGGACATAAAATAGGTCGTGTATCCTCCTGAATGGGTAATCAAAATCAGAAGGTGTACCGACATTTCACCATTCGGATGTCATGTTACTACCCTGCGCCGGTCATCACCTGCTCTTTGGAAATATCAGTGTCTAACGAAAAATATAACGCGGCCGGATCAGACACTTCCGTCTATATATTGGCCATCATTCTATACCAGCCGGCGAGAGTCGGCCTGGGATATCATTCCTACCGTTGAGAAAAGCACGTTAAGTCTTCTTGGAGGCGGGCCGACGTCAAACACGTTGGTGTTGTAACGATTGGGCTGTCCCTCGGCCTATGAAAGCAGGCTAGCGTAGTGTCCTTCCGCTTTTCCACCCACACAATGATATTTCTACATGGTATGTTACGAAGAAGTGCCAAATATAGTCCAGATGACATTCGCTTTGGTAATGACGCACGTTCCGACAGTTATATTTATCTATGTACCGGGCATCTGTTCCCTAGGTGAGCTATTATGTGTTCTGAACTGAGTTATTTTCCTGGCTCAGCACTCCAGATATTTTGTTTTAATGTGTTTATCTCTCAGTCTTGCACGGCGTACAACCGCGTACCATACCAAAACTTTAGACTGCTTACTTCTCATCGCCTTTCTTCCGCACACACGTGACGAATGGATACACGGCTGTTTGCACTGTATCCCTATGGAAACCCTGACTTGGTATTGAATCCGAAAAGCGTAATTTCCAAAAAAAGCACACAAAATAAGCCCTTCCTGCTTCAAAGATGTTTTAAGACCTCTCAGCTAACCCATTAGCGTGTTTTGCCATCAACTGATGTTTTGTTAAATTCGTTATCCGTGTACTCGTCTTGTAAACGCATTTTATCATAGTTTGGCACAGCGTTCTCAATGTCATGCGATCTGTATGGACCAACTGGATGTACTTCACTTCGTCCCTGGTACCCGCTCTCATACGGCCGGAGGTGAGCTGCATGTGCCGAGCTGGTCGATGGCTGATCGTTATCTGGCGCCATCGTTATGGACTGTGCAAACAGGAAATTCCATAGGAGAGATTGTGCTGCAATATGTGCATGGGACTTTCTCCACTTCCAGAAAGCCATGCAGATTATAGTTTCTGCATGCTCTGCATGCTCTTACTGCTCTTGTGAGTCAGGTTATGCTGGGTACGCATAATTTGGCGGCGCCGCTGTTTCTTTTTCGCATTTTCGGTGACACGTATCGGTACACTTCATCACAGCTGCAGCAATGCCCTTCGCGTTCTTCTTATGCAACAATAGCTCTCCCTTGTGATGTGGTCAAATTGCCTTTATCACGCACCCACCAACGCCTGATCTTTGCATCAAGGCAGTACGCGAATGGTCCTCATTTGGTTTCACCATTTGTTTATCGGTGAATCTATACTCACTGTGGCCCGAACCGAAACAGCTCATTTTTGATTGCTGCTCTACCGATGCCTGGCACCCCACACGGTTACTGACAGATTCAGCAGTGCTTTTTCCGTTTGGCGGTTATAATGAGGCGTCCAGCCAGGTGTTACTCCACTATCGCTGCGACAAACACTCGACTTAAGTGGTGGTGCGCTTGGTATGTAACTAGTGTGAATAGGGCACCCAAACGTGATTTGTATCATCCCTGCTACGCCCCTCGTCAGGAACTGCCTGTATGTTCCCTTCTCCCTCTGCGCCGCTTCATATCCGCTTCAGGCGACGGACGCTAGGGGAGCGGGAGCTTGGGGAGCGGGGACCGGTCGCCGCGCGCGGGAGGAGAGATTCAATATGCGCTGGATGAGCCAGTATGGAGTTTGGTTACCGGTAGTCGGCCCACAACGGCTGTTGTTGATACGAATTCAAGTACGCAATGAAAAAAAAAAACCACTAAAAGCAAAAAAAACACAAAAAAGGAAGGTTAGAGGAGACCAGAAAGCATTTCGGGATGGGAGCAGAAGGACGTGTCGGAAGATCAGTAGCGACACGTCGTGCTGAGTGGGATGTAACTGGCCAATTTCTGATCACAAAACCTCTGCAACTGCATCCAAGCGCCACAACAGCAGAAACTTCATGATTTTCCAGTAACACAAAAATCACGGGTTTTCAAAGCACGAAACCCTCGAAACGACCTGAGATCGCTACGACGCAGACTGCTTGACATGGTCTGCTCACGACGTGTCAGCTCTCATCGCTCCAGGTCCACCCTGTGACAAAGCCGAGCCCTTCCAGGTGTGGGAAACGCCGGTATGGCCACCATCTACGTAGCGCTCATCGTTTCCTGCTTGTTCCTGCCGTCGCTGGTGATCAATCGGCTGACATGCAAGTGGGCCATTGTAGTGTGCACCTTCCTCTACTCGCTGTACCTGTTGGCACAGTTCTATCCGAGGCTCTACACCATCATCCCCGGCGCCATCATTCTGGGCATCAGCGCCGCTCCCATGTGGTCGGCCAAGTGCACCTACCTCACCCAGGTCAGTGGCGCGACTAACTAACCTCACACAGGTCAGTGGCGACCAGGTCAACTCGACGAGATCGCTGTGTCGCACGCGCTGGGAATGTGTCGCTCCAACACTCGGCGACCAATTACACTAGGAGGCAAACAGCTCACTGGGACCCGCACAGATAAATGCCCACAGTCACACCTGGAGTCAGCCTTGGGCTTTGCTGATAAGACACGGGGATTGGAGCAGCGCGTTATTTTGGTCTCACCATGACTGCATGTATACAGGAGGCGGAGTGTCCATGATGCAACGCGTGAGTTCGGTGAGCGTGTGTCGCGGGTCCCGGTCGCCAAGGCAGCCTGGATTAAAATCTGCCTTGATGTGTAAGGGAACCGGTGATATAGCTCCTTTTGCCAGACATGTTGTCCTGTCGTCCGTTCAAGACTTGCTGCCAGCTGGGCTTCGGCGTCCCGTGCTGCGATCGGCATGAGAGACTGACGAGGCTGAATGCCCTCAGATGTTGAATGAGACGTTAACCTCATCATCTGTCATCGCCGTCGTCCTGGGCTTGTAACTTATTAGGGAAGGCATCAGACACTCATGTGTACTTCTTGTAGTAGATGCCGTTCGCTTTACAGTCTGTGACATGCTCGCGTCCATTACACGGGGGTGTATATTTCACAAACCACATTGAAGCTTCTAGCCACACCTTAAAACCCATCTAAAAATGAGGACCTGGGGTTTGCACAGTAGATCGGAGCCTCGATGCCGGTGTGTTGCTGTCACTGGGGTTTGTGCAGTACGGATCGGAGCCTCGATGCCGGTTTGTTGCTGTTACTGGGGTTTGCACAGTACGGATCGGAGGCTCGATGCCGATGTTGCTGCTGCCACTGGGGTTTGCACAGTACGGATCGGAGCCTTGATGCCGGTTTGTTGCTGTCACTGGGGTTTGTACAGTACGGATCGGAGCCTCGATGCGGTTTGTTGCTGTCACCGGCGGTTCACTGAGTCTCGTTGGCGTTTACAGGTGGGGCCGCGTGTACGCAGAGATCGTCCAGGAGGCGTCCGAGCCGGTGGATCGTCAAGTTCTTCGGAGTCTTCTTTTTGTTCTTTCAGACAGGCCAGATATGGGGCAACCTGATATCTTTTCTTGGTGAGTGCGGAAGGGGGCAGGTCACGGGGCAGGCACTGAGACCGGCTAGTGCTACGGCGCGACCCGATGGGTGCTGCCGATTGCAGGCGCTGGGACCGGCTGGTGCTACGGCGCGAGCCAAGAGAGGTGCCCATTATGATGCTGAGCCTCTGGAAAATCCTTTTTGACTGAACTTGTAGTAGATCATGGCATGTCTGCTTTATGCACATTCTGCATTCCATTTGCAAAACATTGGTTCTTTGCGCGGTCCCGGTCAGAGCCGCCTACGATGTGTAGGTTATTGCGGATATTATAACAAGACGCTAGATCGACACAGTGTGGCGGCATTGAGAGCAGTAAAATGCGACGCAAAACTATCATTTTCGCCCCAAAATATTATTTCCACTCGAAAACGCATCATTGTTTAAAGTGGGGTAATTTATAACTCGGCATATTTCTTTCTGCTTTGTCATTTCCGAATATGCACTGTGCGGAAGACAGGCACAGGAAAGCAGGTGGGCTTATTATCTGCTGATGTGAGATCCGTCTGCTTGCAATCAGCTTTTTTCCCGCTTAACGCCGCTGTTGAGCGTGAGCAATGCATAGATACTGCGATCTGTGTTCGACGCTTTCCCGCATAGCATGGACATCCGCGATGTGCCCCAGTTCTGGAGAGTGGTCGTTGGCTTGCTAGATGTCTTTGATTTTCAAATCATATGCAGCAGTTATACGCCATATATAATATAATATAATGTACGCCACTGGTACAGGTGTAACTATATTATATAATATTACATTGAAAAATATAATATCAAGAACTATAAAATCCTTCATTCATATATATATATATATATATACATATATATATATATATATATATATATATATATATATATATATATATATATATCAAGGTAGCGCTCGGAGTTACATCCAGTTTAATTGTCAATAACAGTCTCCTACGTTCTGAACTGATTTTTACACAACAAAATCAATGTAACAATTTGAGAGCAAGCAGCGTGAAGATAACATGAGACGAAAACAATTCCAAACGGTGGGTATAACTTAAACGGTGGCGAGCTGAACGGCAGTGCCGCTGACCGAATACAAGTGCAGTGATTTGCATTCGGCAGTGGGCTGAAGCGTGACAACGTTGTTGGCATGTCTGCCGATTGCTGCCATCATCGCGAGTCGGAAAGAGCTGAGCTGTTCACAAGAATGACAGACGAATCAGCCTGGCACGTTGTGGCGCTTTAGTCCTGTTTTATGCTCTCGCCCTCGAGCCCCGCCTGGTTGGATATGCAGGTGGAGGTGCATTCCTGCTGCGCTGATGGCAGATGCGCTATCTATGGTATAGCTCCGCAAAAACATTCGGAGGCTTTCACGCATGTGAACATTCGAAATGTGTACGTTAGGAGTAAATGATCGCCGGTTTGACCTGATCGGTCATGAAAGCTTGGCGGCGGTCCACGTAGTTGAAAGCCTAAGGGAGAGTTTGGAGAATTATCGCTAACAGCTGCATATGAGCTGCACTTCGGCACAGGTGTTTGTATCCACGCGCGTTGCGTGGGTAACTGGGCGCGACAATGTACGTTCTGGGTAACCATAGATCCCTGACAGGTCATCGCTCTTATTAGCTTGGGTTGATTTCAGTGCACGTTGCTGAGGCGGCTGCCAGACTTGTCGTGACGCATTCTCCGACCTCGGTCATAACGCGGGGATCGTCGCTCGCTGTGCTATCACACAGACGGCTTTGGCTACTGCCAGTGCGGCTACGCCGTAGTAAGGCTGTAAGCTGCAGCCGGCTTTACCAAGCTGAACTGTTGAAATCCCACGGTGCACGAACATCGACCAGAAAATGCACATGGCGGATTTGTCCTGGTCTCTAAAGGCCTGAAAATTGCGGAAGCATGAGTGTGCGAGTTTTCGACATGGTAAAGCATGTAATTAAAGAGCACTCATAACAGCTGCAAGTATTTTACAACACTATCATGGGTATGCCATCGCTCATCTGATTAACTGCCTTTTTGTTTTCGGCATTGCACCTTGGCCGTCGTCAGCAAAGCCCGAAACAAATATTTATGTTCTAAAGGCGTTGCTAATCACTTTTCACCTAAATCTCGGGCGATAAAGAGGAACTACCGATTTCCGATGACATCTAAGAGGGGCGGAATAGATGGTTTATTTGACTGTACCGACTTGTTCTTAGTGTTTTCAGAGTCAGACACTGCTGTGATTACAGAAAGGACCTTTCAGCAAAATATTCCTACATCCACCTTATGCTATGCATATCCCGAGCTAGATTCAGTTTTCGTGGGAAAGCCCAAACACACTAAGTTGATTGAGCTATTTGATTTCCTCTCTCCCTCCCTAAGCCTACCCAGCTCGATCTGCATGGTACTGCATTGAGCTGAAACATCGTGCTATTTATGAGAAAATAATGTATCGTGAACAGCATCTATGACATCAGCCCCACCTCCCGAGCCTGCCTTTGAGATCAGTCCCACCTCCCGAGCCTGCCTTTGAGGGCTGCCAGCACGGCTGCGCCGTATGTTAGCCTGCGGTCCGGGCGCCGCCGCCCGCACCGTGTCCAGAGCTGTGCTGCGGCGCTCTACAGTGCAGCGGCGCTGGTGTGCGCCCCCTCACGCGCCGTCCTGCTGCAGTGCTGACCCCGGAGGAGCAGGCCACAGTCAGCCCGTCAGACGAGGGTCTCGCCATCTGCGGCATAGCCTACTGTCCCGGCAGCGAGGTACGCAGCAGCCGGCCCTGCGGCCGTCGGACAGCCGCACGAGAACATGCATTACCTTTCACTGCCACCATGTGTTTAAGATCAATCGTTTCGCAAGTCAGCCCGCACATTAGATATGCTGGGAGTTTAATCGAATCAGGCGATCATGTCTTTTTTGTAAAGTAAAGCACGGTACACGGCTGGTGGAAAATTTGAGAAAACTCACCACCGACCACAGAGCCGTCGATCATACATGGACAGCTTGTCCAGATGTGTCAGAGCGGTAGAGTCCCGCACGCCTGCGCAGCCTGTCCTCGTTACTCGGCCGGTCGCCATGGTGAGCCGCCGCGACCGCCCGCAGGAGGCCTTCAACAACACCAACCTGCAGCGGCCGCCGAAGCACCAGATTAACACGCTGGTGGGCGTGTACCTGGCGCTCGGCGTCGCCGCCAGTGTCCTGCTCGCCGTTCTAGTAGACAGCCTCGGAAAGTGAGTGGGCGTGACGTGAGAGAGCAGTGGAACAGTCAAAGCCCTCCGGCGGCCACTCCAAGCGTGCGCGTGGTCCGCACGCATGCACCTGCCCCCTCCCCCACACATACACACGCATACGCACACACCTACACCTGGGTGTGAGCGAATGTATGTATGCTTAGGTCTCTTCAAAACGCAGCTTGTCTAAGCGAGCTGAAGATTTTACGCAGTTCAGATGTTTATCCATTGATCGTATCCTTTCCGGACAGTTTATTGGGTGTGTTGGCTCCGCCCTGGTTTACTTGGTTCCTAGCACGGGTAACGTGGGAACTGGTGTGAGCAGCGTGGTATATCTGTAACGATGCTGGTAGAGGGGTGATACGGGGGAAAAACGGCAGATTTTGAAATCGAATGCCTAAGAGTTGCGCACTTACGTAGGCCGTTAGTATACGCGTGCCTACAGCCAGTGGCGCAGCCAGGAGGGCCTTTCGGGCCATTGGTCTCCTTGGAGCCGAATGTTTTATGTTTGTTTAAATGTTTAAAGTATTTAATATACATATACATAAGTTTAATAAGAGAGAGAGAGAGAGAAGGAGAGGAGAGAGAGAGGAAGAGAGAGAGGAAGAAGAGGAGGAAGAGAGAGAGGAGAGAGAGAGAGAGAGAGAGAGAGAGAGAGAGAGAGAAGAGAGAGAGAGAGCGACGAGTAGAGAGAGAGAGAGAGCGAGAGAGAGAGAGCGAGAGAGGGAGCGAGCGGAGATGAGAGGAGAGAGAGGAGAAAGAGAGATTCGACTATGAGCGAGAGAGAGGAGGAGAGCTGAATGAGAGAGAGGAGAGAGGAGAGAGATTATATTATATAGTATATATATATATATGTATATATATATACATAAATATATGAATAAGTATATACAAGTTTAAATGTTTAAAGTATTTTCAGCAATTTAAGACGCCTATAGGGCTTCCAAAACATTACAAAATGAGCCCCCAAGGCATCATCATCCTCATGACCGTCAATGGAATCTTGGGCCTAGAAAGGTCCTGAATACAAACGACTAGCCCTCACAGAGATTAAGTGGGCCCCTTGGCGGAAAGGGCGCATTTTGCCCCTATTTCATATCTGCTGGACGAAATCCTGGCAACCTCGCTGTCCACGTTCTAGATATAACTGTTATGACATATCTTCATTGAAGCTGTATTCCCTCAACAATTTTCTTTTTTCCGAAAAAATACTACTTGATCGGCAACAGGAGACCCTTATTCACCGATGAGCCTTCTCATCAAGAAATGGGACCTCGTGATATGCATTAGGAGCCCAAGCCCTTTTGATGTGACTATGTGATCTTGCCGAGGCATCCTTATTCCAAAAGAGAGCTTCCGCGCCAAGAAAAGGGGCCTCCTAATAAAAAAACGTAACCTGTGAATCCAAAACAAGGCCCATTTGGCTCGCATAGCGAGGATGCTCCATCCGGTGGAGGTTCTTCTTATCCCAAAACAAGCGTCTTGTTCCAAAACAGGGTCTCTTGATGCATACACGGGTCTCCTAATTCAGAATATAGGTCCACCGACTCACAAAAGGGGCCTCAAATCCAAACACAGGACATCTTATGCCGGGATAGGGCCTGCTGGGCTTAGAATGGCTCCTGTTGCGGAACGAGACCTCCTGATGCATAGAGAGTCTCTCCTTATCCCAAACATGGCTTCCTGATTCACAGCTGGTGCCTCCTGAGCCAGCAAAAGGACCTTGTGACATATGCCTAGAGGTTGGTGCCTTCTTATCCGGATCAGAGCCTCCTGATTCATAAAGAGGGTCTTCTTGACACAAACCAGAGCCTACTGACCCAGACCATTGGCAATCCGATTCATCAAGGAGGCCTCCAGATCCCGAAGGGCGCCTCTTGGTGTAAAAAGGCCCATCCAACGCGAATAAGTTCCCTCATTTTAGTTGTGAAGACCTCCCTGATCTGAATTCTATCAACATTTTCGAAACTTCAAAGCATTCAGGTTGGATAAGTTGGGGGCTGGGGCTCCACCAACGTTTTCGTAGGGAGAAAGCAAAAATATACCCTCCCCTCCCCCTTTCTCCCTCCCCTGTGGGGACAACTGCCCCTTTGCTCACCACGCTACGCCAGCCCAGGTAGGGGCCATGCATCCCTGGGAGCCAGCGTGTCCTCTGCCGTTGGCAACGGCCACGCTGTTTCAGCGATCTGGCCTGGGATAATCGGTAGGTCCCACTCAGCAACACTCTCTTGCACCTAGACAAGAGTGTCGTAGTGGGGGGGGGGGGGGCGGGGGGGAGGGGACTGGCAAGTGGTTGGTATTCTCTGCATCGCTACGCTTCTGTTGCCCTGTTCTTCAAATACAGATGGATGGTGATCCAGGTGATTACTACCAACATCCGTCTTACCACCGGCCACAAAGTTTGCGGAGGCCGTCACATGCCCGTGAAATGTGAAGTTCAGGTTTGGTTTCCTGCAACTGTGGCATTCCATGGCATCCGGCTTGGACGATCCAAAGAGTCAGCGATGTTCGATGCTGTCCCGTATTTGACCAAAAGCGTAGACAGGGTCTTGGCAGCTGCCCCACGACAGTGGGAACATCCAGAGAAGCTCGACAGCATCCAGCGTCGCCTGCTGGGCAAACTTCGACAGCATGGGAGCGATGCTTAGCGGCTCCGGAGCTGTCTGAGCGACCGCTCCCGAAAGGCCGAGGCGCTACAATGGTGCAAGTCACCTTCGTCGTGGTGTAGCACTCTTTTCGATCTCGAGGCTCGTCCTAATCTCTTACCGGTGACCTTGTATTGTGCAACCGTGACGCGATGGTCGTCCCATATACGCGCGACGAACATCATCTGCACCACGGAGATCCTCACGACTCGACAAACCCCAAATCACGAACGCGGAACACTCTCAGTGATGCATATCGTTAGTCTGCCCCAAATAGCTCGGGGATTAGCCGACCACAGCAGTCCTTGTCCCCCTTACCTCAGGTTGTAGAAGGCTGACCAGTGGCTTTGTGGTCTGTCATAACGAAGAGTCGCCTCGTCCGTCCACTTATAAGCTTACTTGTGTTTCCGTAAGTAAAAGCCTCAAGAGCAAGCATCATTGGGAGGGGAAACCACGGATCGCAGGCTACTGGTCGCGACTAACTAACGTTCTAAAGAACGTGCGACTCGATTTTCTTTTGTTGTGGCGTCGTCTGTAAAGCGGCAGCGAATCCCTTTTGAAATCAGAGAGGCAGTGTATGGTCCCTCGGCCGGAGAGGGTCGGGGAACACGGGGGAGTGGGAAAGAGGGCACCATAGCTTGCAAGTAACGATAATGGTAATTTGGCAAATCGATTGACCACTGTGTGTTTTGTCTCCCGACTAGACACCAATGTCCCAAGAGGCCGTGTCAACAGTCAAGCGGTACCATACAAAATGTGGAACGCCGACGACGGCGGCGGTATTAATGAACTCCTGACCGGGCTCTTGGCTGCATCCCTCAGATTGAGCATTATCTGATGGGCTCCGGAGGCAGGAGGGGAATGGGGACGGCAGGCCCCGCTGATGCTCACGTGCAGAGCAGCGGGACCACTTGCTACGCGTAAACTGTGGTATCCTGTCCACAGGTATGGGGAGAACGACAGGGACACCAGTGCCAGCGGCACCCGGCCGTTGACGTTGCTGCTGGCCACCATGATGCACATGAAGAAGCCCTACCAGCTGCTCATCATCCCGCTGACGATGTGGTCGGGATTCGAGCAAGCCTTCCTCATGGCAGACTTCACCAAGGTTGGCTTACATGCTGAATCGCAAGGAGCGAGACCGAAGTAATGCACTTAGTGCTGAGCCGCATGCAAAGCGCCCATGTCTTCGGTTTTAATTTGGGAAGATAGAGAATTAACGCTCTAATGTTTCGTGAAATTTATTACTGGGCCGTGAACTGTTTTCAGCGGTGGATTCATGACTTGTTGGGATCCGGTTGGGCTGGACGCACAGCATTGAAAGGGACGACATAGCCAACCCCCAACGAAATAACGGGGGGGGAGGGGTGCGGGGAGGGCGGGGGGGGGGGGGGCACAGGCCACCGAAGAAGTTCACATATCTGTTTCATTTCTGGTCAACATGAGGGTGATACACGTCACTATATGACATCAGAAGGCGACCATTCACGCGTCGTGTCTGCATGTCTCAACGGCGGCCATTGATGCTAGACTCACCAATGGCCATTGCTGTGGACTAGACTCGTCAACGGTCATTGCTGCGGGCTGGACTCACCAACGGCCGTTGCTGCAGACTACAATCGCCAATGGCCGTTGCTGCAGACTAGACTCACCAATGGCCATTGTTGCGGACTAGACTCACCAATGGCCATTGCTGCGGACTAGACTCACCAGTGGCCATTGCTGTGGGCCGGACTCATCAATGGCTATTGCCGTGAGTCCAGACGCAGTAGCCAGAATGCTGTCCGTTTCCAGGCGTTCGTGTCGTGCGCCTGGGGCATTCACCGCGTCGGGCTGGTGCTGATCGTCTACGGCATCACCGACTCCATCTGCTCCTTCAGCTTCGGCTTCATCATCAAGCGTGTGGGCCGCGTGCCGCTGTTCGTGGTGGCGGCTGCCCTCAACTACGCCGCCATCGCCACGTTCATCCACTGGGCACCGGGGCCCGACGAGACGCACGTCTTCTTCCTGCTGGCCGCCGGCTGGGGCATGGCGGACGCCGTCTGGCAGACGCAGATCAACGCCCTGTATGGCGTCATCTTCCCCGACACAGCCGAGGCCGCCTTCAGCAACTACCGGCTCTGGGAGTCGCTCGGCTACGCCGCCGCCTTTATCTACAGCGACCTGCTGTGCGTGACGCGGAAGGTGGACCTGCTGATCACGGTCCTGACGATCGGCATGCTCGGCTACTTCGCCATCGAGTTGATGGAGCGGCGCAAGGCCAAGGGCGATATGAAGGTCACGAAGGAGTAGCAGGCGCAGGGGAGCCGCTTCGGCATGGCGAGATCTACGCCAGCTATGAGGCGCTCGGAATCGCCCGTATCGGCGAAAAGGAATGGGGTGCAGTCTACAGCCCGCCGTCGAGAGGACCCGCAGTGCACCCGTGGACGTGTTGCGGCCAAAAGCGGGGTCAGCACTGCTTCCTCTGAGTGACATGGCGTAATGGACAATGCGCGTGTAGGAGTGTGGGCCTTCGAGTTCGAGGTGCGTGGCCAAAGTCTGACACGAGTGTCATCAGTCCTGATTGCATCGCGGTGTCGTGTCTAACGGCTAGCCCATCGCAGACATGTGTAACTGAATCAATATGTTGGCAATGTGCTGAGCCGAGTTCTGAAGTTGACATTGCTGAAAGCCGATGTGCTGGTGCCAAAACCTTTCTTGTGACGCAAAATGACGGTTGCTGCAATGATGACACCCAGATGCATCATTTTCGTGGCACGTACTCCAGTGCATAGGGCACTTAATGACGTACAGGGTATCTTTTCAAATTAACAGGCGTCCTCTAACGTTACTGAGATGGATACCCTATCAAACGATCTCTGCGAATATATATCACTGAGTTATGAATGGGTCTGGGGAGTGGGAGCGCATTTGAGAATGGAATGCCGTGTGTCTTTTACGCGGTGAAAATTAAGGAGAATGTCTGGTAATATATATTGGCTACGACGTTTTGGTGACACATCGAAATGTCCGGAAAACGTGCATTTATACGGGTGATAAGCCTGGAATTAATAGACTAAAGCACCCGCCGATCACATTTCAACCGCGCCTACGACCATACGGCTGGTGAACGCGACCCAAACCCGTGCTGGTCGAAAACGGGGGGCTCGGTCAACAGTACCTCCCTTCGAAGCTTGGACGCTGTTCGGATTCTGGCCCTACGCAACGGGCGCGAAGTGAAGCCTTCATAACGTGGATGGAAACGAAAGCACCGGACTCACCGTTATCGAAACGGCAGCCAAACGGCCCCGAGTTCATGCCGCATGTGCGTGCGTCTGTCCCATCCATGTGGCCTCGCGTGGAGGCCTGTCTGGACCGGGCCTCATCGAGGAGCGTTGGTTTCTCTCCACGCCAGCAGGGGCCGCTTGAGACCACCGCATGGGGAAAGGATGACGCCGAGGATGCCCCAGCGCCGTAGCGGATGATCCGAACGGAATCCCTAGCCGCCTCTCCACGCCAGCAGGGGCCGTTTGAGACCACCGCACGGGGAAAAGATGACGCCGAGGATGCCCCAGCACCGTAGCGGAGAATCCGAACCGAAGGTGTCGATCGAGTGGCCGGAGAAAGGGGGTCTAAATAACGCTGATTTTCTCCGTATTCATTGAACCAGCGGGGCCACCGCGTCGGCGCGAGCGCGTCCGCCGAGGTACCGTGCAGGCCGTCCCGTACATCGCTCAGTTCTCTGATACCTGAAGCGACGGTCGGAGCGGTCTGGAGGTACACACCACAGTCACCCGTATTTGAGCAAGTCGATCAAAAATCGACGACCAAAGAATAATGACCCCGCCCAGGTTTGTAGCGTCTAAGGCCGCGTGATAAATAATAAGGCCGTGTAATGGTAATGCTTGAAAAGGCGGTCCATGCGACCAGGCGTAACATACCACCCCAGCCAGTGTTCACAGCCCCACACTGGTGGGCCGTGCAGATCCCGCCCGCGGCACCCCGCGCCGATAGTTTCGCGTCGTAACCGGCGCGTCGACGCGATTTCGGCTTCGTGGTCTCCGACGCGTCGACGCGATTTCGGCTTCGTGGTCTGTGCTAGAGCACATTCCAACTTTGCATACACATATCATGCGATGATCTGACATTGGAGTGAAAGTGATTCCGCGCAACTAAAAGGCGTAGAAGCCTTCACGACGTGAATGAAAACCCTTGAATTGAGATGCATATGAGATGCATAAGCGAGATGCATATGAGATCCATATTCACCTCACCAGATTTTCTGATTGCAAGCCATAGACGCAACATTATTTACCTATGAAGCTTCTCTAATCGCATTAACACCATTAGAACAATTATTCAGTCCCTGATTGGGCTTGGTGGAAAATGCGTTTTGTGTAATGAGCATGCAGCATGCGATCTTATCATATATGCATCGGCAGCGCGCACACGAGCTTCCGTGGGCATTAAATTGGTTTCAAATGTTTGCCATTGAAAGACGTTCTTATCGGCAGCTGTGCAACGTACACCTTTGTCAGCATCCTCTACAAGCTGCCGTACACGGGAAACACCTAGCTCTCATTCCTACTTGCATTTAGCCACTGAACTGAGCTGTTAAAGGTGATGAGCTGCTGAGCTGCACCGGGGACATACAAATCGAGCGTTAGAGGTGATGAGCTGCTGAGCTGCACCGGGGACATACAAGTCGAGCCGAGTCGCTTGACTGCACCAATCTGCGTATTCAGTCATCGACGATTCGGTCGTCTGCGCCTCACGCCAGGCGAAGGGCCACTCTCACCGGAAAACACCATGCCCTTGTGCCGGTTTTTACGACACCTGTGACCGGCCCGTGGCCCGCAGCTGCAGGTCAGGAATGTTACCTGCGCAGGACCAGTTGCATGCTGTTGAGCAAGGCCGTGTTACGGTGCGTGTCGAGGTGGTGAAAGAACTGGTCAGTAATGACGATGCGCACGTTCGCAACAGCTGATGCACTTTCGCCAGCTATCAGCGTCAGTATAAGCATATTGAAAACCATCCACATGATGCCTGTTGCGGTGTCAGGTCATGGTCACGGTTTAAATCACATACATGTGCAGTGGAAAAAGACACCCTAAAAGTATGCAATACAATGATGCTAGTCATGGTCAAAGAGCTAAAACAGAACTATCTATGCGCTCTGGGCCGGATTATAGCGGTCGTCAATGGTACAAATCTCATCACATGTGGAGGTCTTAACCGAGCTGTGTTTTGGCATCACAGGCAGTCAATGGAAGGCGGTTCCAGGCAACTGCAGTCCGATGCGAAAACGCCCTCTGAAACACCGGTCAATCGGTGTCTGCGCAGGTGCACACTACCTCTGTCCGAGGCGCGCTTTTCGCAGGTCGAAACAGCGGCGCGTGGGACAAAGAGCACATGGGACAACGGGCGTGCCGGACAAAAAGCGCGCGGCCTCTGTGGCGAGCCTACGTCCTTCAGTCCCCTAACTGCGCCATCATTGCCTCGATCCTCGGCCATCCAAGGGAATGCAGAGCCGAAGTGACATGCTGGTGCTTTTTGAAGCCTGCAATTACTCTTGCAGCAAAGCTGAATTTTTAAAAAAATGGTGCGTTTGGCTCTTGGCCGCCCCACCAAACAGTACGTGATATGAGGGAGCACACACGCGTGGATGATGGTTTCGAGATAATCTTACATGGAGCAACAACGGAATTTATGCAAAGAAACAAGAGTGTATAACATTTTTTACGACCCCCAAGACACGAACGCTCCATGACAGACCGAAGTCAACTATGATGCCGATAACTTCTATGTTTCTTGGGGTATGCGCAGTCAGATCGTTTACTTCGAAGTGAAGGTCAGCTGACTTTTTCAAATCTTGCTATGAAAGCAGTTTCTGTTTCGTTCATTTGGAGAGAACTGGCACTGAACCAGTTCTAAAGATCACGCTCGGTAAGTTTCAATCTGGTTTTTACGTCGACGAGACCAAGCCCGTCACGGGGCGCGCAGTCCACGTGCATGGTGTCACCAGCAAAGGAGATGAGGCGGCGATGAGCCAAGAAGTATCCAGATAGATCGTTGGCAAAAATTAACGAAACAGGGCCGATATCAAACCCTGGGGTACCCCGCCCGACATGGGGAGAGTGAACCGTCCTCCACCCACCACCTGTTCTCGAGCACTCGAATAATTCCTACACCATTCTATATTGATAACGCTATGCCAGAACAGTTTGGAGAGGAAGACGTCGTGGTCGACGCTATCGAGCGCCTTTGAAAGGCCTATCGTCGCTACCGACGGTACAAGACCGTCCTCAGTGTCAGTGACCAGACGTTCGACTGCGGCGAGCACGGCATTCTTCGTTGTGTGGCGCGGCCTATAGACATACTGAGATGGATGCAGCAGCTCAGTCGCGTTCAAATATTCCGTAAGCTGTGCGCAAGCTACCTTTTCTAAGATCTTTAGCGGTCACTGAGCACATAGATGGTCCTATTTTTGGACGGTACAGCGGGATCACCTGACTTCGGAATTGATATAACACATGTCCTCTTCCAGCTATCTGAGAACACTTTGGTCGCGAGAGAAATGTTGATGAGTTTTAAAAGATGGGGCATGACGACTGAAAAACATTCCCGCACAGTCATTCCCGCACAGGCGGTAGGGCCTGGATAAGGTCGAGTAGGACCTCATTCTGGCCCTACCGCCTGCGATGTACTCATACGTTGAACATACTGTGACAGCTCTGGTAGCGTCGCACGTCGGAACGAGAAGCCAGCGGCGCAGACAACGGGTGGTTTGTGATTCTTGTAGCCGGCATTAACCGCGCTCCGCAAGTTGGTTGAGATGCGGACCCCACGGCAGCGAAGTGGCGCTTGAGCTTGTCGGCCGTCACCTCGGCCCCCTCGAGGCCCACCGCAGACGCGGCCTCGGCCGGCGTCGAAGCCTGTAATGGGCGAACGTCTTGAAGATAGGTCAGAAGCCGCGGCGGGCAACCGTGCGCCAATCTCGCCGTCGCGAGAACTCGCGCCTAGCTGCGGTTGGACTGGAGAGCCAGGACTTGCCGAGGGTCGCATAAAGTCCGGCTCCGGTCCTCTGGTGTTCGCAGACAACCGTCGGGGTGTCCGCACGTGCCGTCTCGCTCGGACATGGCGCTTCTCGTCAGAGCCGGGTCAATGCGGTCAGCCCGGGATTCACGCGTGGCTGTCCCGCTCGGACAGGAGCTCTCGCAGGGCCGGGTCGTGTCGGTCAGCCCGGGTGTCACGCGTGCTTCCTCACGCGGACATGAACTCCTCATAGGGCCGGGTCGTCTTCCGGTCAGCCGGGTGTCAAGCGTGCTGTCTCACACCCTGGACGGGAGCTCTCATAGGGCTCGGGTCCGTCGGTCAGCCGGGTGTCAAGCGTGCTGTCTCACCCGGACGTGAATCTCTCATAGGGCCGGGCCGTCGGTCAGCCGGGTGTCAAGCGTGCTGTCTCACCCGGACGTGAGCTCTCATAGGGCCGGGTCGTCGGTCAGGGGGTTTTTGTCAAGCGTGCTGTCTCACCCGGACGGTGAGCTCTCATAGGGCCGGGTCGTCGGTCAGCGGGTGTCA